CATATCCAGGAGGAGCTGCATTGGCTATATAGCAAAGTACAATAACATTCTGCCCTAAGTGCAGTACCTTACATTTCTCTGTGTTGAATTTCATTTTGTTAGCTTTGGCCCAACTTTCTAGTCTGTTCAAGTCATTTTGAATTTTGATCCTGTCCTCTGGGGTATTAGCTACTCCTCCTAATTTGGTGTCGTCTGCAAATTTGATAACTATGCCCCCAATATCGTCATCCAAGTCATTAATAAAGATATTGAATAGCACTGGACCCAGGACAGAGCCCTGTGGCACCCCACTGGTCACTTCTTTCCAGGTTGAAAAGGAGCCATTGTTGAGCACCCTTTGGGTTCGACCAGTCAACCAATTACAAATCCATGTAACAGTTACTTTGTCTAGCCCACATTTTACCAACTTGCTTGCAAGAATGTCATGGGGAACTTTGTCAAAGGCCTTGCTGAAATCAAGATATGCTATATCCACAGCATTCCCAAGATGTTGTGGTTGTCCTTAGTTCATAGGGTACAGAAGGGTGTTCATACTCGTAGGCCTCTCCTTCTTCTGGACATGTGGATGCTGGGATATTCTTAGAGCCCAGAAAATAAACTTTAAACATATTTATTGGTAATGGAATTTAAAGTTTATTTGCTGGACTTTAAGAATCTCCCAGTACCCACATGCCCAGGAGGAGGAGAAGCCCACTTGCATGAATATCCTTCCATACCATTTGAATTGAGAAAAAGGACCACAACATCTTGACAAAACGCAGGCCTACGACCAACATTGTAACTTCCCTCCCTTTCTCCTGTATGACTGTTAACACCTTTGCTTGATGAAGAAGCCAGTGGAGCTTGGAAAGCTTGCAACGTGTTTACTGTGCATTTTGCTTGGCCCAATAAGGGCATCACTGTTTTGTGGATTTTGGGTGTTATTGTATTCTGAATAGCAGTTGTTCACCACAGTCTGAATAATGATAACTAGATAGCTGGATCGATTGATAGATCGTAGATCTTGGAAGTTAAATTACAGTAGTTACACGCAACTCTCTCTCTGCATGTGCTTTCAAGCCACCTGCCAACTTATGGTGACTCCATGATTGTCACAGGTTTTTCTTAGGCAAGGAATACTCAGAAGTGGTTTTGCCAGTTCTTTCCTCTCAAATCTAGCTTACAGCACCTGGTATTTCTTGGCAGTCTCCCATCCAAGTAGTAACCAAAGCTGACCTTGCTTAGCTTCCAAGGATCTTTGGTTATCTTATGATGATTGTAACTCATCATGGAATAATTTCCTTTTTGTAACTTTTATAGTTAAAGAGGAATGGCCTCCGTAAATGTTGGAGGAGGAAGATCAATTGGTTCAAGCGCTGGCTCATGGTGTGCCTCATGCCCTTTCGTGGGTGTTGAGATGAATATGGGGTGGATGGGAACAGAGTGCGTTTTGTACAGGCCAGTGGTTTGGCTTCTGATGTTTTTTTTATAAAATAAAAGTAACTAGCAAGCAACTATTTCAGTTATTTTTGCAAACTGGGAAAATAAAACTTATCTTTTAATTTTTTTGACTACAGCAGTAAGTACTTTTGAGAGATTTTTTTGGAAAACCCCCTAAATAACTTACTTAGCTTTGACAGATGGACAGATCATAAACCTGTCAGTTGCTGAAAATATATCCTGTCATTACTAAGCAATGTTCCTGTCTTCTTCCTTCAATTGCAGAGCCAGCTTTGTATGGAAGCCGCCGCTATTCCTGCACAACTGACCTTGCAAGGTAGGGAAGGGAGCAATTTCTGGCTCTGCAGATGTTGCTATACTGCAACTTCCATCATCATTACTCCCATAAACTACAATGGCTCTGGGGCTGATGGGAGTTACAGTCCAGCACCATATGGAGGACCATCCTGTAAGGAAAAGAAGTGTGATAAAAGAGAGAAAGAGCAGAGAGAGTGATGGCTGACTGAGGATAAGGTAGACTCAGGATGCATCCACACATGGCACAGTTATAGGAGTTGGATATTACTTCTTAACTTCCATGGCTTCATCCTATGGAATTTTGGGATTTGTAGTCTGGCAAGCAACTTAACATTCTTTTTGCTAGACAGGCTTCTAGCGGAGAATCCTACATACCTCACTTAATCTGACTAGAAATGCCAGACTTCTCAAGGATGGAGCCAAGGCAGTTAAAGCGGCATCATTGTGCAATGCGGATACACAGTCAGGATTGAGAAAAGCGAAGGGAAAGAAATGAGCCAAGCTTGCAGGGGGCTTATTTCAAAATGTCTACAGCACACTTGCAATGGAAAGGAAAGAGAGATAGATTGGCTCATCCAGCAGTTTAGGAAAAAATTATTGTACCTCTCCTCAAGTGAAAGGTCAGGACAGTTCCCAGGAGCTGTACCACCTAGAAGATAAGCATCCTTCAGCAGGGCAGGGAAGGTTGCCCTCTTCCATTAAGGTTGCCTAGAACGAAATCCAGCACCACCCCATTGCAGCTTCAGAAACTGTCATTTCCTCTCCCCAGTTATTTGCATAAATCAAGATGCAGCTGGTCAGAACTCTCATCACGTTGGCCATAAATAAATAAAACCCAAATATATCTTTAAAAAAAAAAAAGACCAACAACCCAAACGTTTCAAGGGCATGAACGGAATCTACAATCAGTGGTCAGCAAAATCCAGGCTGTTTTCCTCCCCTCCCTATAAACTTGTTTCTTGTGTGTGTGCGACACAACCGGCGGCCTGGACAGGAACGGAGGTTATGGCTGGGAGCAGGTGCCCTCGGGGCCGGCCACGGAACGGCAGCTGATCTTGCGGATGGAGTGCAGAGCCACCGTGCAGCAGCCTCGGAGGAGGGAGCTAATATTGTAGATGGGTTGCCCCTGCCGCCTCTGGGATCGGCACAGCCAGGCCACCGTTGGCACTGCTGGAACGACCACAGCCAAAAGATCCACAATGAAATGGCGGCTCCAGTATGTTTTGGGTTCCAGCATCGATGATGCCGAAGGCCCCTCTGGACGGGTTTCGGTTTCCTCCTCTTCTGGGGCACAGACAATGCTCACCGACTGGCTTGTGCTCGACGATTGGTGCACAGCGGGGTTGTTGGTTGCTCTGGGGACCGTTGGAGAATCCAGCTCTCCGTCGGGATTCTCACCCCCTTCCCCAGCACTGATGAAAACAACTGAGCTGGGGTTGTTGGCTGCTATGTTTGTGGTCCCTGGGAGCTCTTGGGCATGAGCCTCAGAGCAATTGGCCTCTGTAGCATCCTCTATTTCACAGCTCCACACCGACTGGGATTGGGATTGGGATTGCATGACCTTTTCCAAGATGGTGTCAAGGTCTGGCTCATAAGGCACAGCGTCCGTCTGTATGGCTTGCTCCTGCATGCAGCTGGCTTGCACGGCAGCTTCGACACTCTGCTGAGACCCCATCAGTTTTTCGTAGGTGGAGCTAGTCGGGACCCGGGACCCCAAGGTGGAGTTGGTCTGGAGGGAGGCTTCATCCATGCCACAGTCCACACCCGAAGACAGGAGGCTGCTCTGGTCCAACAAGTCTGTCCGGCTCAAGGAGTCGTCTGCTGCGGCGAAACCGCTATCTCCCACATCCCCCACAGAGATGGTCTGGGAACCACCTATATTTCTGTCGGTGGCCCCTTGGTCACTCAGTTTGGTGTAAGTGGAGCTGCGGGTAAGGGATCGGGCCGGAGACCCACCTGCCGATTCGGCCGCCCCCTCTTCCTTGACCGTCCCGTCCTGGGCAACCTCCATGCTGTGTAACAGCGTCTCCAGCTTCTTGTTCTGGATGTTGATGTCCACAAAGTATTTCTGGAGGCCTTTGTCTTTCTCAATCAGGTTGTTCTTGACGGTGTCGATGACCTGCTTGAGCTGCTTGATCTCCTTCCGGGCTTCCTTCAGAGCCAGCTGGGCTTCCACCCGATGGCATTCCTCCTCAATCCAGTCCTCCTGCATCCTGGACAGCTGGGTCTTGAGGTCTTCAATCTCGGCATCCCTGCGGTGGACACACAAGCAGATAGTCACTGCTCTTTCCCCACTAGTTCTGTAGCAAATATAAGCTGCATTGAATCTATTCCATATTAAAAACAAATCCAAATATTTGGTTTGTTGTTGTTGTTAATTGTGTGCCTTCTATAGCAATAGTAATAGAAATAGCAATAGCAAGTACATTTCTATATTGCTTATCAATGATCTCAGCACTCTTTATGTGGTTTACAATCTGTAAGCTAATTGCCCCCCAAAAGCTAGGTATTCATTTTACTGATCTACGAAAGGATGGAAGACTGAGTCAACCTTGGAGCCCCTGGGATCGAACTCACAACCCTGTGGCTGCAGTACCAACATTTACTGTGCCACCAGGACTTCAAGTCATTTCCAACTTATGACACCTTAAGGCAAGGCAATCACAGGATTTTCTTGGCGAGTTTCTTCAGAGGGGGTTTGCCATTGCCATCCTCTGAGGCTGAGAGCATGTGACTTGCCCAAGATCACCCAGTGGGTTTACATGGCCAAGCTTGGATTCAAACCCTGATCTCCCAAGTCATAGTCTAGCTCTCAAACCACTATGCCACACCTTAATTTCTATAAACTAGATTTTGTTTGTTTGTTTGTTTACTTTATTTGTATGCCACCTTCCTCCCATAAGGCACCCAAAGCAGCTCAGAGACAAAAAAAACCCCCCAAACCCATGTTGAAAACATCACAATAAAATTTAAAATTATTGACTGTCCCCCCCCCAACTGGCTTAGTAACTGCTCGTTTTATTTATTTATTTAAATCAATGTCTTGTGTCCTCTTAATGTTCTTGAAAAACATGTATACATGCATATGTGAGAGCCAACAATAATAATACTAAAAAGAACTAAGTAAATTACAGGTACAACCAGGAAGTATAGCATAGGAAGTCATTTTATTGATTGTGTTTGTCACATGTAGATTTGTTTGACTGAAAAGTATTTTGTGTTGGAATATATATGTATGGATGTATATACAGTACATACATAAAGCCAGGGTGATGCAGTGGTTTGAGCATTGGACTATGACTCTGGAGACCAGGTTTCGAATCTCTGCTCGGCCGTGAAACTCATTGTGTGACTTTGGGCAGGTCACACCCTCTCAGCCTCAGGGGAAGGCAAGGGCAAACCTCCTCTGAAGAAACTTGCCAAGAAAACCCCAGGATAGGTTTGCCTTAGGGTCGCCATAAATCGGAAACGACTTGAAGGCACAATGGCAACAATAATTGTTTGTTAACTTTTGTATTTTGTGGATTTTTAAAACAATTTTTAAATTGTGGTAAGCTGCTCTGAGTCCCATGCCTGGGGAAAGGGCATGATGGTGATGATGGTAATGATGATGATGATGATGGTGGTGCTGATGACAATGATGGATCTTGTCCAAGGATGGCTGGCCGAGCCTCAACTCCGACCCCCTCCAAATGCCAAGGAAGCCAGATACTGACCTGTCCTGCAGTCGCTCGTGGGTGTCTCTCAGCCTGGCTCTCAGGTGCCTTATGCAGACCTCCTTCTGCTGGAGAGGGGTCAGGTATTGTTCAGGGGTTGGGGGCTTGATCCCATGGTTATCACTGCACAACATGTACTTGACGGGACGTCTGGAAAGAGAAGGCAAAATCTCAGTCCCCACATTCTGGCCTCCTCCTCGCCGACCCCAAGTGACCGTTTCAGTAAAAGATCTAGGAAATATTTGTGGGTCACAAGGTCCTACGGTCCACATTTGTCCTGCAGGTTTTGTGGACGCTTAGGAATACACAGCTACCTTTTGCTCACATTAATTGGTTCACCTTCATCACTGTATTGGAGGTTTTGAAAGAAGAGGTTGGATGGGCATCTTGCCAAGGATGGTTTAGCTGTGGATTCCTGCGCTGGCACAGAAAGAGGTTGGTCTGGATGACTCTTGGAGGCCCCTGACAAGTCTATGGCTACATCTGCAATGCAAAAATAATGCAGCTTGACATTGCTCTAACTGCCATGGTTCCATCCTATGGAATTTTGGGAACTGTAGTTTGTTGCAGCACCAGAGCCCTCTGACAGGGAATGCTAAATCGCTCACCAAACTACAAATCCCAGAATTCCATACCATTGAGCTATGACAGTTAAAGCGGTGTCAAACTGCATTATTTCTGCAATGCAGTCTAAGAGTCTATGCTGTGAGATTCACGCCTCTCCTTTCACTCCCCTTCAGTGTGGTTTTTTCTGCAACTGTTGAAAATTATATTATCAGATCTTTGGGGGAGAAACATAGTTTTTTTTTCCCCCATAGAGATTGGGAAGTCACTTTTAAAACTAAGGCATTTCCATGACTCATTGCTGCGTCTGGAAAAGTAACTCATCACTTGGGTTATCGCAGTTTCAAAGAGGTACCCAAGGAGTTGAATCTGTTTGGGAGAGAAGGTTGATCATCTCAGAAATCTCCTTTAAAAACCCATAATGGATTCATTGCTCCGCAGACTTTAGAACCATCACCTAGGTACCAGGTACCTGGTTGCTAGGTTAGCTGTGGCCATTTTGAGCTTAAATTGTGATTTATTCAAAGCACTTGTCTTCTAGATTTCTGTGCCCAAACCCAGAGAGAACAGACAAGAACACCTGGTTGCATTGGATACTTTCATGGTGCCATTTATTTGCCTGTGGTGGATGGGTAGGTGGGTGATGTATAACATGGCAATGTGTAGCAGACAAATTGCATAGCAAATGGAGGGATGCAGAGGGTTGGCTGGTGGCAGGAGTTAGACAGACATTTACAACAGACACCTCCATATTCTTGCAAGATATGTGTCACTTGGCACGTCTGATGTGCCAAATTCCACACTTCCTAGCACCCTTTATATGTTTATCCACGCCTACTAACCTGGACCATCTTCAAGGAAAGGAGGAGGAACAAGAATCTTAAACACACAGCTAAAATTCAGAGACATAGCCCTGTTAAGTCTGCAATATGCAAAGTCTGGAGTGCAAAGGGATCTTGTAGCACCTTTGAGACAAACCGAAAGAAAGAAGTTGCAGCATAAGCTTTTGTAAACTTGGTCTCACGTTTGCATCGGAGGAAGCAGACCAAGTCTACGAAACCTTATGCTACAATAACATTTGTCCAGTTAGTCTCAAAGATTCTACATAGCTTAAAAGAGGGTGACCAAAAGTGGCTTATTGTAGCAATTATTATTCTGTCGTGACAAGTAGGCTTCGGAGGCACAGAAACAGAAACCTGCCGAGAGCAGGTTCAGGACTGGTGAATATTTTCCCTGGCCCTTCAACTGGGGACGTCAGCCCTTTCAAACTGCAGTATATGACAATACTATATATAAATACCTGAAGGGATGTCATATAGAAGATGGAGCAAGCTTGTTTTCTGCTACTCCAGAGACCAGAGAACATGAACCAATGGACTCAAATGGCAAGAAATTCCACCTAAACATGAGGAAGAACTTTTTGACTGTCAGAGTTGCTGGATAGTAGAATGGGTTGACACGGTGGATGATGGGACTCTCCTTCTTGGAGGTCTAAGTTGGACAGATGTCTTTCATGAGCACTTTGGTTGTGTAATCCTGCATGGCAGGGGGTTGGACGAGACAGCTTTTGGGTTCCCTTCCAACTATGATTCTGACTCTATAACAGCTCTCTCTGTGGCCAGTACAAGGGAAGCAGGACTATATGAGAAGGTATGGGAGCCTGGAACTCTTGCAAGGGGCCCTCCTTTTATGAGACTTTGA